TGCTATACCACCCCAGAACCCAGATGACTCCTTTCCTTATCCAGCTGTACTGGGTGAATCCCCGGGCAGGGGATCCAGTGCCTGCCATTGCAGTGTGAAACAGTCCCGGGTAAGAAATCTAATTCCCTCTAGAGTGCCTCATTCCCCTTACTGGTCCAGAAAGTGCAGGTCTACTCACTCATTACTTCTCCTGTGCTGCTGGTGGGTCGGTGGCTGCTACCAAGCCTTCTAGTTGGGCCATTCTTTCCCTGCTGCACAAGTGGTCCTCACTCTGGGTGTCAGTGAGGACCCAAGCTTTCCTCTCTCCAAGGTCCTCTGCCTGTAGGTGAGCCCCTCACCATCTGGACCCCCTTCTAGGCTCCTGCTCTTCAGCCTCACTTCTCCATCTTCCACCCAAACTCTCCTGCTAAGCAGGACCTGCCACTTTTAAGGGCTGTCCTGGCCCCTTTCCAAGCCTCCTGTTGGGGGTTGGCCAGGATCTCTCAAAAGTGCAGATCAGTCACTCCTCCGCCAACTGCTTCTAGAACTTTCTCTAAATTTCTAGTACAGGGAGAAGTCTAAGAGAGCTGATCTGACCCCCTGACTATTACACCTGGGCTTCTACCCATCCCTTCTCACTAACAATTACAACTTAGCTCCCCCTAGCTGACCAGGAGGGCACTACATTCATTTATAGTAACGTTCTTTTTTAAATTATGATTTCATTTATTTACTGTGTTTTTACATGAAAGTCCTTTGTTGTAAGATTAAAAATAAATAAATAAAAACTTTAGCAGTTGTGAGTGCCAAGCAAAAAAAAAAAAAAAAAAAGCATAGGCTCGGGGTAATCACTACATTAAATCACACCCTGTGAACTTCAGATAAGTGGAATGATCAGGATTTGCGGTTCGGGATAATGACTACTTAATAACCCATCCACATAGCATACGGTTACACACCGCTAAACATGGAAATTAAAGAAAAAAAAAAAAGCATCAAGCTTATGGTCAGCCATAAAAATGCAATCTATTGTTGAAAGGCAAGTCAGGTAATCCAGACAGAGCCAAGGCAGCAGAACAAACACCCCGGGCCCATTCTGCTTTATGAGCCTGAAAAAAAAAAAAAAAGGAAAGTCTGACAATGTATAAACAAACAAAGAGACGGCTAGAGCGGAATATAAATTATTATACAGATACAAGGGTGTGCCTGCGGACAGATAGCATCCTCCAGTGACATTATTTTAGGGAAAATATCTTGTGAGGTACTAACAATACTTGTCTCATAAAACATATATTGGGCAGCACAGTGGCTAAATGGTTAGCACTTCCGCCTGGCAGTACTCAGGGTCGTTGGTTCGAATCCCAACCACGGCAATCACCTGCCTGGAGTTTGCATGTTCTCCCTGTGCCTGCGTTTGTGTTTCCTCTGGGTACTACTCCGGTTTCCTTCCACACTCCAAAAGACATGCTGGGGAGGTGAATTGGCTCCTGTCTAAATTGTCCCTAGTATGTGTATGTATGAATGTGAGTTAGGGACCTTAGATTGTACGCCCCTTGAGGGTTAGGGACTGATGTGAATGTACGCCACCTTGAGGGTTAGGGGACTATATGTGTAAATATATGCTGCGTTGTGGAAAATTGATGGCGTTATACAACCAGGGGCTGACTGACCATTTGGAAACTTGGGCACTGCCCCAGGGCCTGGGGTCAGTAGGGGGCCCCAAGAGATGCCCCGGTGGCTTGTTTGGGTAAGGACACAGGGGCCTCATGATCCCCTATTGCCCAGGGGCCCCATGAGTTGTCAGTCCGCCCCTGGCTACAAGTACCTAAAATAAATATTTGGAGATGTAAGTCTAATAAAATATTAATTAATTTGGAGAATAGTTCTCAACGATTGGCTGTCCGCAGGCTGTTTATAAACGGGCTGGAACTCTGGTGGTTATTATTTATTATTTTATTTCAGGTACTTATATAGCGCTGTCAATTTACACAAGCACTTTACATATATATTGTACATTCACATCAGTCGTTTGACAAAAGCTCATGATATTGGGGTCATTAACCACTTCCAGTCCGGACACTTTCCCCCCCCCCTTCCAGTCCGGACACACATTCAAAGTCACTTTCACCCCCTTCCAGTCCGGACACTTTCAGCCCCCCCTTCCAGTCCGACACTTTCCCCCCCTTCCAGTCTGGACACTTTCCCCCCCTTCCTGTCCGGACACTTTCCCCCCCTTCCAGTCCGGACACTTTCCCCCCCCTTCCAGTCCGGACACTTTCCCCCCCTTCCAATCCGGACACTTTCACCCCCTTCTAGTCCGGACACTTTCCCCCCCTTCCAGTCCTGGGACACTTTCCCCCCCTTCCTGTCCGGGACACTTTCCCCCCCTTCCAGTCCGGACCCCCTTTTCCCCCCCTTCCAGTCCGGACACTTTCCCCCCCTTCCAGTCCGGACACTTCCCCCCCTTCATGTCCGGGACACTTTCACCCCCCTTCCAGTCCGGACACTTTCACCCCCCTTCCAGTCCGGACACTTTCCCCCCCTTCCAGTCCGACTTTTCACCCCCTTCCAGTCTGGACACTTTCACCCCCTTCCAGTCCTGGACACTTTCACCCCCCTTCCAGTCCGGACACTTTCACCCCCCTTCCAGTCCGGACACTTTCCCCCCCTTCCAGGTCCGGGACACTTACCCCCCCCCCCCCTTCCAGTCTGGACACTTTTCACCCCCCCTTCCAGTCCGGACACTTTCCCCCCCTTCCAGTCCTGGACACTTTCCCCCCCTTCCAGTCCGGACACTTTCATACCCCCTTACCAGTCCCATTTCTTCCCCCTTTTCCAGTCAGGACACTTTCACCCCCTTCCATCCGGACACTTTCCCCCCCCCCTTCCAGTCTGGACCCCCCTTCCAGTCCGGACACTTTCCCCCCCTTCAGTCCCGGACACTTTCCCCCCCCCCTTCCAGTCCGGACACTTTCCCCCCCTTCCAGTCCGGACACTTTCCCCCCCTTCCAGTCCGGACACTTTTCCCCCCCCTTCCAGTCCGGACACTTTCCCCCCCCTTCCAGTCCGGACACTTTCCCCCCCCTTCCAGTCCGACACTTTCCCCCCCTTCCAGTCCGGACACTTTCCCCCCCTTACAGTCCGGACACTTTCCCCCCCCTTCCAGTCCGGACCACTTTCCCCCCCTTACAGTCCGGACACCTTTCCCCCCCCTTCCAGTCCGGACGACTTTCACAAACCCCCTTCCTGTCCAGAGCCAATTTTCAGCTTTCAGCGCTATCACATGTTGAATGACAATTGCGCGATAAGCGGTCATGCAACACTGTACCCATATGAATTTTTTTTTTTTGCATTTTTTTGAGACAGATAAAACTTTATTTTGTGGTGTTATTCACCGCTGGGATTTTTTTTTTTTTTGCTGTGTAAAATGAAAAAGTCCCCAAATTTTGAAAAAAAAGTGTTTTTCTTATACAAATTTTGCAAATAAATAATCTTTCTTCATAAATCTTGGCCAAAATGTATTCAGTTATCTTTTTATTTTAAAAAAAATTACCCAAATTAGTTTATAACCAAAAATTATAATTTCTCAAAACATTTTTTTTTACATTTTTGTTTTATTTTTTTTATATTATTATTTATGTTTTTTTTTTAACATACTGTCACCCTAGCACTACAGTGTCACTGTAGTGATGCTGTACTACTTGTGGGGGGTGATGAAGAGATTTTTTTTTTAACACTGATTGCTTTTACACCCATAAAGGCTGTACCCCTCGTGTATTGTATTGTTTGTTTCTTTCTTGTCTCATGTTCTGTACCCCCCCTTGCTACTGTACAGCGCTGAGCATACCCTTTAGTGCTATATAAATACTGTATAATAATAATAATTAAAGCAATCATTTCTCCTTCTCTCTGGCTGCATTCTTGCAGCCATTGAGAAAATACTGTGTGAGCTGTGATTGGTCACAGCTTGTCACATGGTACAAGGCTGTTGTGAATAGCCTTGTACCATTTGACCTCGTGTGATTATTCACAGATTTTCCCACGTAGTAAGCAATGATGTCAGAAGTGACATCTTGCTTACTACTATTATTCACGTGATCACTGATTGGCCAATCAGTGATCCCATACAGCGATCAATGCTCTGCTGTGTCCAGATGACACAGCGGGGCACCAGATCCCGGTACCGTGCGCTCCCAGGGAGCACGCACAGTCCAAAATGGCGGGAGTCGTTTATGAACGGCAACCCCTCCTGCACTGCCCCCGTCTATTATACTGTATATACATGGGCCAGACGGGAATTGGTTAAAAGACACTCACTCCAAATTCCGGAACACATGTATTGCTGGATGGAATATTCCTGCATGGAGGAATTCCACAACTGCTTGCTGCCTAAAGAAGATCCATAAACAAGGAGGGCGCAGCTAAGTGTAGTACTACCAGTAGCTGCCCAAGCCGATTCTGATACTTCTCTCCTACATGTAAATATCAGCAGAGAATGACTTCCCCCAAACATTGTATATTGTTGTAGGCAGAGGCACTAGAGAATAAAATGGTGGTTGTTGCTATTTTTTATTCTGCGTGAAACGTCAAATCTGCCACAGAGACGTTTGACATGATTCGGCAAGTTTATGGTGACGCTGCAATGAGTGGGTTGAGATGTTTTGAGTGACGTGCGCTTCAAGAGCAGAAGAACATCTTTGGAAGATGACGAGAGATCAGGAAGACCTTTGACGAGCTCACCCCCCGAAAATGCCCTCTTCCCGAAGATGAAGATCAAACTCAAAGGTCGCGTTTTGACAACATTGCAGAGATACAGCGATTTGCTCAGTTTAACCACTTGCCAACCGCGCTATATATGAATGACGGCTACAGCACACAGCTGACGATCTCCGTGATCACTGTGTCCCTGCAGAAACAGCTGATCACTTGATGTGGTAAAATGCCAATAACAGCAACCGAATATAGTGAATGCGGGGTCCGGGGAGAGAGCAGATATAGTGAATGCAGGGTCCGGGGAGACTGGATATAGTGAATGCGGGGTCCGGGAGAGCGGATATAGTGAATGCAGGGTCCGGGGAGACCAGATATAGTGAATGCAGGGTCCGGGGAGAGCGGATATAGTGAATGCAGGGTCTGGGGAGACCAGATATAGTGAATGCAGGGTCCGGGGAGACCAGATACAGTGAATGCGGGGTCCGGGGAGGAGAGCAGATATAGTGAATGCAGGGTCTGGGAGAGCGCATATAGTGAATGCAGGGTTCGGGGAGACTGGATATAGTGAATGCAGGGTCCGGAGAGACTGGATATAGTGAATGCAGGATCCGGGAGAGCGGATATAGTGAATGCGGGGTCCGGAGAGAGCAGATATAGTGAATGCAGGGTCCGGGGAGATTGGATATAGTGAATGCAGGGTCCGGGGAGACCAGATATAGTAAATGCAGGGTCCGGGGAGATTGGATATAGTGAATGCAGAGTCCGGGGAGAGCAGATATAGTGAATGCAGAGTCCGGTGAGACCAGATATAGTGAATGCAGGGTCCGGGGAGACTGGATATAGTGAATGCAGAGTCTGGGGGAGAGCAGATATAGTGAACGCAGGGTCCGGGGATAGCGGATATAGTGAATGCAGGGTCCTGGGAGAGCAGATATAGTGAATGCAGGGTCCGGGAGACTGGATATAGTGAAATGCAGAGTCCGGTGAGACCAGATATAGTGAATGCATGCAGGGTCCGGGGAGAGCGGGATATAGTGAATGCAGAGTCTGGGGAGAGCAGATATAGTGAACGCAGGGTCCGGGGATAGCGGATATAGTGAATGCAGGGTCCGGGGGGAGAGCAGATATAGTGAATGCAGGGTCCGAGGAGACCAGATATAGTGAATGCAGGGTCCGGGGAGAGCGCATATAGTGAACGCAGGGTCCGGGGGAGACCAGATATAGTGAATGCAGGGTCCGGGGAGAGCGGATATAGTGAATGCAGGGTCCAGGGAGAACGAATATAGTGAATGCAGGGTCCGGGGAGACCAGATATAGTGAATGCAGCATCCGGGGGAGACCAGATATAGTCAATACTGCCTTTTTTTTTTTTTTACCCTTTTTTTTAAATAATTTTTTCTTATTTTATTTTTTGTACCAAAAATTGGGTATTATTTTATGTTTTTATGCACTGAAATCCATGTTACTGTATTTTTTTTTTCCCTGAAAATATAGATTTGAAAATAATAATAATAATAATAAAAATTTTAAACGGCTTCTATTTTATTCTACAGGGCTTTTGATTTCAGAAAATATATCATTTTTGTCAATTTTAAGTAATTTTCTAGCAAAAAGTGTACATTTTTTACCAGGGTGCGAAAAATAAAAAATTACTCCAGGCGCAAAGTGCTTAATCCTTGAAAATAACCTCCATCTAGAAAGCGGTGATGTTACACTCCTTTAAAACACATATTTCTCCCATACAAAAAAAAAAAACAAAAAAACACAGAGAGAGAAAGCTAGCCCTGAATATAAATTATTATACAGATACAAGGCATGTGTTCAGGTGTTTATAATACTCAAGTGGCATTAATGCAGGTAAAGTGACTTGTGAATGCAGCTTTTTCATTTCTTTCATTACAACTTTAACAATTCCTGTCTCATAAAACTACAACGAGAAGGCGAGCTGTGAATATAAACTATCATACAGATACCAGGCATGTGTGCAGACATATATAACATTCAAGTGGCATTAATGCAGGTAAAGTATCTTGTGAATGCAGCTTTTTCCTTCGAGCAGTAACAATCCGTCTCATAAAAGTATATTTGCAGAGTGTATATGTTCATCACTCCCATAAAATATTATTTTGTTTCTTGAGTAGCCCTCCTTTACAGTAATTTATATCTAGAAAGCGGCGCAGTGACACGCTTTTAAAAAAAAAAAAAAAAAACCTTTCCCCCTGGCAAGTATTTCATTCACTTTTTCGTTCATTTATTTGTTTTTTTTATTCAGTTGCATTGCGCTTTTATTTATTTATTTATTTCAGGTACTTATATATCGCTGTCAATTTACACAGCACTTTACATATATAGATTGTACATTCACATCAGTCCCTAACCCTCAAGGGGCGTACAATCTAAGGTCCCTAACTCACATTCATACATACACATACTAGGGACAATTTAGACAGGAGCCAATTCACCTACCAGCATGTCTTTGGAGTGTGGGAGGAAACCGGAGTACCCAGAGGAAACCCACACAGGCACAGGGAGAACATGCAAACTACAGGCAGGTGGTGCCGTGGTGGGGATTCGAACCAACTTTTGAACCAACCTTGCTAGGAAAATTGGCTGCTCCAGGACAAGCAAATTCTCTAGCTCAGACTTCGACCTCGTTGCACATCATAGTCCTCTCCTCCTCCTGGAGGGTCTAATGACTGACTTTGATGGCCCAGATCTGAGAGGCAAAAATTGCTCATTGCAACTCCTTGCAACCTCTGCAGGAACTGTAGGGATCCACAGAACTCTGATGGTGTTTGGTTTGCACTGGAGACCACACTGGCTGGACCAGTTGATTTTTGTGGGTGGGTGATTGTATGGGCAAAGAGGAAGAAGTCCATTCCAGCCAGGGCCGGATCTAGGGGGGTGCTGGGGTGGGCTGTGCCCACCCAGATTTTAGCTGCCCTCCCCCCCAGGTGTTTGAGAATGCAAACACTGATTCCTGAGCCAGGCTGATGCAGACAATTGATGTAAGGAGGCACTCTGATGGGGACACCTGCTGTAAGGGGGCACTGTGAGGGGGACTCTGATGTCAGAGGGCACTCTGATGGGACTCCTGATGTTAGGGGGCAATCTGATGGGGATAACTGATCATACATAAGGGGGCACTCTCTTGGGGACAGTTGATGTAAGGGGGCACTTTGAAGGGACACTTCATGTAAAGTGCCACTCTGATAGGGACCCTGATGTAAGGGGGCACTCTGTCGGGGACACCAAATGTAAGGAGGCACTGTGATAGGGACCCTGATGTCAGGGGGGAACTCTGATGGGGATCCTGATGTAAGGGGGCACTCTGATAGGGATGCTGATGTAAGGGGGCACTCTGATAGGGACTCTGGTGTAAGGGGGCACTCTGTTGGAGACACCTAATGTAAGGAGGCACTCTGATAGGGACCCTGATGTAAGGGGGGAACTCTGATGGGGATCCCAATGTAAAAGGTAACTGTGATAGGCATCCTGATGTAAGGAGGCACTCTGATAGGGACCCTGGTGTAAGGAGACATTCTGTGGGGGACACCTAATGTAAGAGGGCACTCTGATGGGCCCCTATATAAGGGGGGCACTCTGATGGGGACCCTGATGTAAGGGGACACGTTGATAGGGACTCTGATATAAGGGGGCACTCTGATGGAGGCACTCTGATGGGGACATCTGCTGTAAGGGAGCAAGCTGATGGGAACCCAATGTAAAGGGGGACTCTGATGAGGACTTCTTATTTAAAGGAGGATATAAAGGGGACAGGTTCTGTGTCAGCCTAATTCATCCCAGGTGATGACACTGTGTGACAGACTCTCAGTGACTCACACACAGTGTTGACAAAATGTCCCCTGGCTTTTTTTTTTTTTACTGCACCCCCAGACCAGATAGGCTAGATCCGGCCCTCCTTCCAGTAGGTTGTGGACCAATGGTGAATGGTGGTTGTGACGGAACGCCTTCCACCAGAGCACCGCTTTCTTGTCACTGGACGCAGGACCAAGGTATGATAGCCGGGCATTGCACCCAAGACTAGATGACACTAGCTTGATGCAAGCTGGAAATACTTTATTGAACAGAATTACAGTTTTTATACACTCCAGAAATTGGGGCAGTGCCCACAAACATTAGGATAAACATCCCACACTGTTTAAATAATGAGCTGACATCAGTCTAATCCTGTCATTTAGGCACCTCCAGAAGAACTTGCCAACAACAATAGGTGTCTCAATTAACAGCAAGTTAATCAACATCCAGCCACCCAGACCAGCCTTGATTAGACAGTATGGAGTCTGCATAGGAGTACATGGAACCAATGTGACCAGCTCCTTTAATGGACATATATAATTCCAAATACAACCAACCAGGAATAGTCTTTAGGGCAGATCAAAGTAAATAGTCCTTCAAAAATGTCACAGAAAGGGAAATATGACAACAACAAATAACAGGGGGAATGTGGGCAGAGAAGGTCCCTGCAGCCAGTGGTGGTGGACTCTCTTGGGGGCTTGGGCTGCTACCTTTCTGATATGGCGTTATGGTCATTTCAGCAAAAAGTCTTGGGTGGGATAGAAGGAGCAACCTGTGTCCAGAAAACTGCGACTTTGATGTATGGTCAATAGGACGAATATTAAAAGTATAAATATGTACATCAAGCCAATGTGTTTCAGGGGACTGGATGCCTCCTTTTTCATGGCTGTTGCTTTGCTGCCTCTGCAACCCTGGCCAACATTCTGCCATTTTGTTTTCCGAAAACTTCTAATAGATATATCATTTTGGGAACCATTCCCATCCAATAGCACGCAGCAACAGCCCTGAAAAGGAGGGAGTCCAGTCCCCCGAAACACATTGGCTTGATGTACATGTTTATACTTTTGATAAATGTTTTATGAACCATACATCAAAATTGCAGTTTTCTGGACACCAGGCACTCCTTCTATCCTGATAAAATAAAAGAAAGTAAAAGTGAGCGCTAGATAAGAAGCTGCTATGAGCCAATAGGTACCAAAGGACTCTACAAAGAACATATGAAAAAAGGGGCGCAGCGCTAAAATGTAATATACCTGATACACATACATATATAGCAAAAAGAATTATTGAAAAAATAAGTGATTGTAATGTGCCAAGAATTGTGCAAAAACGCATTCAAAAGTCCTTAAGTAATAAATGGTGATTCAAAAAAGTGTGCGTCTTCCGGTTATCAAATTAATTGAATCATGCACTCACCAGATGCATAATTCAAATATGCATATAGATGATATCCCGATATCCAAGCGGAGTTATCCCAAAATCGGATATGGCGTCATAGGATCATCGTCTAGGCACATCTGTCCGTCCAGATTCTCCTTGTGGATCGTGCGTTTACACACAAAAACACCTCTCAGCTGTCTCCCCAGGTGGCTCTGCGGGTATTGGACTCAGCAGGGTCCTCTGCAGGAGCCACTTGGTAATTTGGGTCCTCTGTTCTGCGCCTCGACTCCAAGAACAACCTCAGCCCCTCTGATGCGCCTGGTTGAAGGAACGTTCCTGCACGCACCTTTTCCCTGAGGTTATGTTACTCCATGTGCTGCGTCCATCTTGGATGGACGCCAGCACATGGAGTAACATAACCTCAGGGAAAAGGTGCGTGCAGGAACGTTCCTTCAACCAGGCGCATCAGAGGGGCTGAGGTTGTTCTTGAGTCGAGGCGCAGAACAGAGGACCCAAATTACCAAGTGGCTCCTGCAGAGGACCCTGCTGAGTCCAATACCGCAGAGCCACCTGGGGAGACAGCTGAGAGGTGTTTTTGTGTGTAAACGCACGATCCACAAGGAGAATCTGGACGGACAGATGTGCCTAGACGATGATCCTATGACGCCATATCCGATTTTGGGATAACTCCGCTTGGATATCGGGATATCATCTATATGCATATTTGAATTATGCATCTGGTGAGTGCATGATTCAATTAATTTGATAACCGGAAGACGCACACTTTTTTGAATCACCATTTATTACTTAAGGACTTTTGAATGCGTTTTTGCACAATTCTTGGCACATTACAATCACTTATTTTTTCAATAATTCTTTTTGCTATATATGTATGTGTATCAGGTATATTACATTTTAGCGCTGTGCCCCTTTTTTTTCATAAACTCCTTCTATCCTACCCAAGACACAGGCCTGATAGAGAAAGACTGATGTGGGCACTTCTTTTTGACTGTACATAGTGTCTATCATCTTGATCCTCAAAGAGACTTTACGTCTAAAAGGACTGGGGATCAAATGTCATGAGGGGTTGGTAACAAGTGTGGTTGGA